GACAGAATTGTGAAGGGGGAAGATTGTGGTGATGGAAGAGGAAAAGGCATATTGGTGGTGCAGGTATTCCAGGATCTTTTTGTCGTGTGATTGGATTGCATTTTGTTGGTCTTCCCTTTTTTTCTCTGTCCCTGAAACCCTTATTCATGTATTCATCACATCATAAATCAACTACAGCAATAGCATCTATATGGTATCCCATCCAAAACCCTCACCAAACTCCAAGACATCCAGAATTGTCCTGCCTGTCTCCTAACCAGTGACCACATCACCTCCATCAACCCCCTCTCCCTCAGTGCATCATATTCAAAGTCCTCCATAACCAGGAGCCCTCCTACCTCTCTAACCTGCTCCACCACCATGCCCCATCCCTCTGCCTCCCCTCCCTCTCCCACAGGACCAAGCTCTGAACTTGGGGAGACTCAGCTTTCTCCATGGCTGCCCCCACCCTCTAGAACTCACTCCCACAACCTCTCCACAACTGCTCTGACCTCTCCACCATCAAAACTCTTCTCAAGACTGATTTCAAAAGTGTTTACAGTTTATTTTTTTATTGTTGCATAATCTGTCTGTTTTACCTTGTCTTTTTACAAAATCTCTAATGTTCTTCATTACTAAAATATATTATTTCATTTCATGACCCAAGACCTGTTCTACTATGAGAAAATCATTAACATCAGATCGACCATTCATTCCTCCATGTCAACATGCACAATCAGACCACAGCTACAGCCACACATGAACAATCTGGCTAGAATGCCAGTTTTAAGTGTGATTACTGCTGAAACACTGGAGGACATAATTAAGACCTTAAATTCATCTACCTCCATGCTTTCGTTCTTTTTTAAACACAGAAACAGTTTTGTTTACCTGTTTGTAGCTACGGTTTCGCCGACAGCTGCCGGCGAAACCTTAGCTACAAACAGGTAAACAAAACTGTTTCTGTGTTTAAAAAAGAACGAAAGCATGGATTTACAAAGACACAGCAAGAACACACCTAAGAAATTCATCTACCTGCTGTCTGGACACCCTGCCAACTAAATTCTTAAACATGTAGCTGCTAGAAAGCTGATGTACTGAAAATCTTTAATTGCTCCCTAATGTCAGGTATTTTTTCGAAAATCATTGAAAACTTCTGGTGTTAAGCCACTTCTGAAGAAAAGAAAATTATATCCCTTAGTGCTAAATAACTACAGACCAATCTCTAATCTGCCCTTCGTTTGGAAGATTATTGAAAAGGCAGTTATGATCAAGCTGAACACCTTTTTGGAGAAAAATAGAGTTGCTAGATGGTTTATTTATTTATTTATTTGTCAGGCTTTAGAAAACACCACAGCACTGAGACTGTACTGATTAAGGTATTAAAGGATATTCGTCTAAAACAGATTCAGGCAAAACATCTGTCCTGATTATCCTCGATCTCAGTACAGCTCAGTGATACTGTGGACCACAACATATTTCTTGATAGGCTCATAAACCGGGTAGGTCTTTCAGGCACAGTTCATATCTGGTTTTGATTATCCTTCTCAGACAGGGGTTGTGATGTTTCTTTTGGTGATCAGAAATCAAAGCAGATCACCATGACGTGGCCTCCCCCAAGGCTCAATTCTTGGACCACAGCTCTTCAATCTCTACATGATTCCCCTGAGTCAGGTCATACACAATAACAATCTTACCTATCATAGTTATGCAGATGACACCCAAATCTACCTAGCTCTATCACTTAATGTCTGTGGTCCCCTAGACTCATTCTGTCCGTGTTTGGAGTAAGTTAATTACTGGATGCAGTCAAACTTCCTCCTGTTAAATGATAAACTGAAGGTATTGTCTTTGGAAATCAGAAGGATGGGATGGAGGTTATTGTTCAACTTGGTTCAAGAGAAATTAAAACAAAGACTCAGGTTAGAAATCTTGTTGTTACGATTGATTCAGACCTTAGCATCACTGGTCACATTAAGACTATAACTAGATCAGCGTTTTTATGATCTTCACCCAATAGCAAAATAAATAATGTTTTTTTTTAAAGTTTGGCTGCTTTTTTGTTTTTTTGCTGCCTCCTCCTTGAACTGCCACCTTATCATGGTGGAGAAGTTTGAGGATCCTAGGAGCTAGGTTGTCTGGGGCACTTTGTGCCCTTGGTAGATGAAGGGTGAGACAAAGTGCTCTTCAGAAGACTTTTCTTGGAAGTGAGATCCAAGAGCCAGAGTACCCAGCCAGGAGGGTTACCGGTGTCCCACTCTGGAGCCAGGCCTGGGGTTGGGACCCGTGAGTAAGTGCCTGGTGGTTGTAGTTACCTTTCACTAATACATACTTTTCACTCAGCGCTGTGATATTTTCTAAAACCTGACTGAAATTCCTCAAACAGATCATTAGTGTTTAGATGCTCAAATACTCTATTGGCCACAATTTTGTCAAGGACTTTAAATAAAAAGGAAGATTAGATATTGGCCTATAATTCACTAGGTCATCTGGATTCAGAGATGGTTTCCTAAATAGAACTTTCATTACAGCAACCTTAAAATCCTTTTGTACGTCTCTATTTAAAATGGGGGCAGTAGGGCTGGGTGATAAATCAATATTTTTAAAATATCTATATAATTTTTAAACAATATACAAAATGACTATATCAATATAACTGGTTAAATTGCTATGCTAGTAATTAGCCGCTATGCTAGACACATAGTGCTCCGTCCCTAAGTGGTTATTACGTGTATTCTCAAGTTTGCTCAATCAGAGAGCCTCTGGGAAAATGTGCTGCTCTAAACGTTGTATTTGGCATCCTGGTTTTTAATTATTTGGGGACATTCAATGCCAACAGAGTTCTATTTTTCCATCCTGCTTGTGCGGAGCCAGAGAGATGAGCCAAACCCCTCCCTCCCCTGTGTAATCGGGAAACATCTATGGATAGCCGGAGTGGCCAAATTAAGTATTGTAAGGGTTTGAATAGTAAACTATAAGTTAAACGTTTTATTTTGAAGGCGAGCTCAGTGGGTGAGAAATGTTTTTTTCCACTCTGGTTTGCTATGCTTGTAAATACTCCGTTACAAGCGATTCTGTTGAAAAAGTTAAGAGTTTGTAAGGCGTGGGTTACGGCGACAGTGGCCCAAAAATAATACTCTTAAAAGAGCAACCAGAGACTCATTACAGTATAATCGCTGAATAGAGTCAAGCTTTGACTAATAACTCAATGGTGCATGACCCATGTGATCTTCAGTAGATGCAATTACATCATCATAAAGTTTGTTTAGCATGAAAGATTTTTATTCTCTGGACAAGAAATAAATTATATGGCCCACCTCTAAATGAAATTTAAATAATTTTACATCCATCCATCCATTGTCTGAACCCACTTGTCCACGTAGGATCCCAGGGGGGTGGGGGCGCCTATCTCCAGCGGTCAATGGGCAATCAGGCAGGGTACACCCTGGACAGAGTGCCAATCCATCGCAGATAATTTTACATTAATTTTACATTAATTATAAATATATACTTAAAAAGAGCCTGTGGGACATTTTATACATCTCTAGCTCTCAACTGTGTGTGTGTTAACATACATCTGTACCAGTGTTTCAGTGGTAGACAATAGGCACTAAGGTTAAAGTTTGACAAGAATTAATACATTTTTATGCATTTAATCTACTCATTTATGTATATAATTTCTCAGGACAGCTTGAAGTGAGTAACTTGTAAATATTTTGCAGGAGGAAAAATATTGAGATATATATCATATATCGGAATTTAGCAAAAATATATCAAGATAAAAGTTTTGGTCCATGTCGTCCAGCCCTAGGGGGCAGTAATGAAATAAAAATGCATCCCTAGATAATTTGGCTGGGATTGGGTCTAGAACACTTGTTGAAGATTTAGATTAAACTAATATTTTTAATACCTCTGAAAGCTCAATTAAATCAAAACAGATGAGGTTCTACAGTTACCTCTGATGCTGCCTCACTTACTGAGGAGGAAGAAATCGCATTAGGGAGGACGCTAATGATTTTGTTTCTAATAGAATTAATTTTACTCATGAAAAATCCCATAAAGTCGTTGCTGCTGAAGGCTAAGGGTAAAGATTGTTCAGAGCTATGATTCTGTGTAAGTTTGGCAACTGTACTGGTTCATTGATATTTGGACTGTGGTAAATCATTGTGTATTACTGCCCAGTAATAACTGGCTTACTGTTATACAATTTTGTCAATCAGGATATTAAGGAGTTTAATAGTATTGTTTGAGTGAAATTAATTGATAGACATTTGAAAATATTCGTTAACTGATACTTAAGGTAAAAGTTATTCTTCACATAGCTCTGCTGTGATAAGTCCATGAATGTTGACTTGGCCATATATTTTACAGATTAAACCATTCAACTTCATTCTGTTTGCTGGCTATTATTAAACACAACACAGGGAAAATCTCATATGATGAAGGGACTGAAGAACAGAAATGGGTTACATCTGAAGAAGTTGCAAAAGCTCAGCACAGTTATAAGAAGATAGTGATCACATTTTGAACAAACATTTCAATTTTGGTTTATTAACAGAAACAAGTACATGCATAAACTGGACTTTCAGTATTTTGTATATTCTTTACTGGTTTTCATAATACTGACAATATAAGACAAAGCGAAAAAAATGTTTATGTATATGTGTATATATGGTAATATAAAAGGCATCTCAAGATATACAGTTTTTTTTTGGTGAAACAGGTGAAACTTGATAAAAGAATATGGTGCAAAAGTCCATTTATTTCAGCAATCCAGCTTAGAATGAGTGACAACCTAAAGGCTCAGGAACCATTTTCAGGTGTTCTGGGTTCATAAACTGATTAGAGTGTAACACTTTCAGTCTAGAACATTGAACCTTTTGACAATATTCTAAATGTCAGAGATTTCAAAATTGGGAATTTGATAAGCTGTAAGCCATAATCATCACAATTATAACAAATAAAGACTGAAATATCTTGCTCTGCATGTAATGAGTCTATCTCTTACATTAGTTTCACCTTTTAAGTTGATTTACTGAAACAAATTGCCTTTTGCACGACATTCAAATATCTATGCTGATAGAGAGACAGAGAGAGGGGGACAGCATGCTGAATAAGTCAGATTGATTAGAAAAAATTCACAGAAAGCAAATTCATTGCTGATATGATTTTGCTGGAACTGAAAATGTCTCTCCACATACTATTAATATAATTTACTTAATAATTTTTTAACATTGACAGAACAAATGTTCTCTCCTCAGACAACTAGAATTATTTAAAAGACTGCACTTTACTCAGTCTACTGAATCTCTACAGTATGTTGGCCTCAGAGGAGCCAGGCTTTAGGATCTGTAAGGTGACAATGTGTTTGCTAGCTTTCCGGAACCAGGGATAAAACAAGGCATAGATCATAGGGTTCAGAAAGGAGTTAAAATAAATAAGAAAGAACCAAAAAGATGCATATGATGTACTAATTGAAGTATCTACAGCATAATAGCAGCAGTAATATGGACAAAAACATATTAGATATGCAACAACAAGAACACCCAGTGTTCTGGCTGCTTTTAGCTCTGATTTCTTTGTTTGTTGTTGCACTGAAAGCTGAAGGGTGACACTTCTATTGTGAGAGTACATGGCACGAGCCTGAGTCACAGCCACCACAAATACTCTCATATACAGAACTATGATGACTGTAACTGGAAATAAAAAAGTTATAAACAGATCAAAAGTTCCTGACATATAATCAACAGATATTGTACATTCTCCAATGCAGGAATTACTCCTGCCTGGCTGAATCAGCTCATCTTTTAGGAAGACGGTTACATAGAAAGCAACACAGCTCCAACAAAGACAAACACAGCGTTTAATTCTTGACAAGGTTATTCTGGTGGGATAATGCAGAGGGTAACAAATAGCCACATAGCGATCAGCTGATATGAGAACAATGGTTCCAACTGAAGCACTGAGAGATACAGAGGCAACATAATAGTAAAATGAACATGTGATATCTTCAAACATCCAGCATGATGTGTTTCTTAACATTTCAAATGGAATAACAAAAAAGCCAATAAGAAAGTCTGACACAGCCAGAGAGAGGATGAGGATGTTAGTAGGTTTCTGGAGCTTCCTAAAAGGAAACAAAGAAGTATTAGTCCATAATTATGAGCTGTGGAAAGAAATTTTCTAGTGAACTTAATTTAAATTTTAAACATTATAGAGAGTAGAATATGACATCTGCCTGAAATAGGAGACTGAAATTATGATAAGTAGGTTGAGAGAGACAGTGATCAGAGAGATGAAGGACAACACGATGTTCAGGAGGACAGCTTCAGACCAGTGAAACGTTGGCCTCCTGCAGGACCTGTTGAAGAGTTGTGGAAAACAGAGCTCAGCTCCTATCTGTGTCTCCATCATCAGGCAGTTACTGTTTGGCGGCAACTCTGTCAGCCAGTTGCTTTATGGTTTTCCTCCATTACGTAACTCTCATTTGTTCATCCCTTGTTTCTAGTGTAGTGTCCCACTTGTAGCGTGACCAATAAGGTGTGATAACTCCATATAAATATTAAACATCAACCTGATTGATCTTTGAATGTTTAATGAGAAGATTATGGTTACTTGTACTTGTTCAGGGACCATAAACACACTTCATATTAATTCAGACAGTCAGGTATATTGTTAAAAAGGAATTTTATTATTTTCTAAACTAATGATTATACATGACAAGTTATGAATAATGAGATGTGATGTAGTGGATATGCGGTGATGGAATATGATGTTTATCAGAACCTTCTTTGTATCTGAAAGAAAATGTGACATCTGGGTGTAAAATTTTTTTTTGTCTGTTATAAACTAGAGAGTTGATTATTAATAAAACGGCATCAGACACAATCTGTTGTCTCTCCAAACCCTGGCGGAGATCCTGAGCAGATCAGGACTGTCAAAGTCGGGTGGACCTCGACCCCTCGACCTCGTGGTACCTATAGCCCTTAGATTTGCTCCGGTACGTCCCATCCAGTCTTGAGGTCTCCGGGTCACAACAGTAGCTGGAAGGCTTGTTTGCGTCCAGGTGGAAGTAGGCTCTTAAGGAGCCATTTGGTTGAGTCAGCTTGCAGCATGCAAACAGGCTTCTGACTATATGTCAAAAGAGATGTCTCAAAGATGCTTGAATTGGCCGGTTCAGGACCCAGCTAGAAACTGAAATAGTCGGGAAGTTACTTCTGTTTTAATAAACTCATTATTTATCATTTCTGGCGTATTCTGGCAAATCAGAATGTGCCATGTCTTGAAGTTTTACCAATATTCCTCAGAAAGCCATGCCTTGTTGCAGATCCAAAGATGTTTTAACACTGTGAATGAGAATGTCTTAAAACACTTATGTGAGGTGAATATTAACCTTAATTTGTATCTTATGGTAATGTGTGTGAGTGTAGATAATGATTAACTTGTTAAATCAAACACATACTGATCATAAGATCTGAAATGAATCATTGTAAGAACAGTATTGATTTCAAATTCATTGATTTAAGCACAGATTATTCAAATATTTCATTTAAACATCTTGTTCATTCAACCATATGAGTAATTAACTTGCAAGTTGTAAAGCCTTCTAGGATTCATGTAGATTCACTTTTTATTCAGAGTGAGGAATCCAGCAGTCTGACTTATACGCAGAGAGAGAAGGGCTTTTGCGGGAGACCTTGGCAGTTTATTTTGTCTGCGTTGAAGAAACAATAAGTAAGCAAAGGGTTGATTTGTCCATCTGGATCCTCCAGCTGGTGCAACCTTGAATTTGCAATTTCTGGAGTGTAAGAAAGGTTATGCTGTGTCAATTAGATGGTGAAAAATTGACCCCTTTGGTTCATAACACTAAGGTTACCAACTTTCACATATGAAAATAAGGGATGCCCACCATGGCTTCTTGGGGCCATGACCCCCATGGCCCGAGTCTCCCAATTCTCATGTAGTGGGGGGCAGCAGAATTATGTTTTATTTTATGCAATTTCTTTGTGTCCATCACCACTAATGGGCTTTACCAGCTACAGTGAGAGTAAATGATTATATCATGTTTATGTTTATGTATTTAGCAGATGCTTTTGTCCAAAGTGACTTACAAGTGATAATCGGCATGTTGCCCTTGAGGCTAACAACAACAGTAACAACAATGACTTGACATCAATCATGGAGAGTAGGGAACAAGGAGTGGACAGTAGAGAGGGGGGGGGGGGGGTGCGGGTGCAGGGATGGTGCTAGTTAAGAAGATGCTCTCTGAAGAGCAGGGTCTTCAGGAGTTTCTTGAAAATTGAAAAGGAAGCCCCTGTTCTGGTAGTGCTTGGAAGGTCATACCACATTTGTGGAACGATGCATGAGAATTCTGGATTGTCCTGAGCGTGGTGTAGGCACTGCTAGCCGACGATCCTGTGATGACCGGAGGGGCCGGGCCGAGACGTAAGCCTTTGCAAGAGGATTCAGGTAGATGGGAGCCGTACCATCTCGGACTTTGTATGCTAGTGTTAGCAATTTGAATTTGATGCGTGCTGCTAGCGGTAGCCAGTGGAGCTCAATGAACAGAGGGGTGACATGTGCTCTTTTTGGCTGATTGAAGAACAGACGTGCCGCTGCGTTCTGGACCATTTGAAGAGGTCTCACAGTACAGCCTGGAAGACCAGTTAGAAGAGCATTGCAGTAATCGAGGCAGGAGATGACAGTAGATTGCACCAGGAGCTGGGTGGCATGTTGTGTTAGGTATGGTCTGATCTTTTGTATGCTATACAATGCAAAGCGGCATGAACGAACAACAGAGACAACATGATCTTTAAAGGTCAGGTGTTCATCAATCACAACACCCAGATTTCGAACTGACTTTTAAGGAGCCAGAGATAGGAAGTCATTTTGGGCTGAGATATTGTGCTGTATGGATGGTATTGCTGGGATGACAAGTAGATCAGTTTTAGAGAGGTTGAGTTGGAGATGGTGGGATTTCATCCATTTTGATATGTCAGAGAGACAGTTTGATATCCGTGCAGAGACAATGTGCTCGTCTGGTGGAATTGACATATAGAGCTGGGTGATGTCTGCATAGCAGTGGTAGGAGAAGCCATGTGATCGAATGATCTCACCCAGTTAGGTGGCGTATATGGCAAAGAGAAGAGGTCCTAGTACAGAGCCCTGGGGGACTCCTGTGGCAAGATGGTGCACGGTAGAGTATTGTCCAAGCCAAGATACACTGAATGATCGTCCTGTGAGGTACGATTCAAATCAGGCGTGTGCTTTCTCTGTGATTCCCATGCTAGAGAGAGTGGACAAAACAGTCAAGCAGGATAAGCACTGAGGATTTTGCAGTCGCTCTAGCTTCTTTTAAGGATTCCTTCACTGCTAACAGAGCAGTTTCAGTGGAGTGGCCCCTTTTGAAACACTATTTAGGCCCACAGTGAACAGTCTGTTTTAATAATGGCAAAAGTTATTTCTTTATTTTTTGCAGACATTTTTCTCTGGATGCCATCATTTTTTTTCTTTTTTTTCGTGTCCTGCCTGGCTGTGAAGCAAACATAATTAATGTCTGAATGATGAACAAGAGTCTGCTTCTAGACCTGCAGAAAAGGGACACACAACAATACAACAGGAGCGAGCTATCACTGCGTCAGCTTGATGAAGAAATGTAAAATCAACATTGTTTTACTGAACAATCACACAATAATAAATCACAGTGCATTTAGTGCCAACCACAGCCTTAAGACATGTGTTGAACGTGCCCAAGTCCATACTTATGAGAGCACCTTGTCAGCACCTGTGTGCGTACTCACGCTTGTATATGTAAGGTTTCTCTATAGGAGCGTCCAATAGAGAGTGTGGGGGCGACAGATCTGCCCCCCAAAGATGCATAGGGGATGGAGGGAGCTCCAAGTCCCAGAGATCCAGGAGCTGCCCCAGAGCACAGGGAGCCCAAGGAGACCGTGACCAGAAAAGCCCCTGTCCCCCTCAAGAGGTGCAGAGGATCGCCTTCGGGGACCATAACATGCAGCCGTCAGAGTCCCGGGAGATATCAGCGGCAAGCCCACAGGCCCGACCGCAGCCTCCCACCCCCCAGCCAGCCGAGCCCAGGACCCAGAAACCCAGGGGCAACCTCCCCCGCGTTGGACCCAGCAGAGCCCAGGGACCCAGATCCCACCAGGCAGCCACCGGGATTGATCAGGCAGACGACAAAAATTAAACTCCCTGGCCCGGGAGCCACGACCACTCAGGCAGACCAAGGTACCACACTCCACACCAGGTGTGGCAGGGGAAGGGGAGACGAAGATGTATAGCATCAAAAGAAGTCCCAGGAGAAGGGAGGAGTCAAAGGCCTCACCTGACATACAGTCATACACAGACACAGTCACACACTCCCTCCCTCATGCTCACACATGCACATACACATACAACCAAAGACTTACAAAAATGCATGCCAGACACCCACTCATGCTCCCCATGCACACCCTATTCACTCTGGTCCTGGTACTGCTGCACATGGGGTACAACCATTACCGGTTCCCAGAGTTCGACCCTTTCTGCTGGGGTGCTGATGAGCAGGTTCCCCCACCCAACGCTGAGCAAAGCAACCCACCACCCCAGACCCCAACCAGACGACCAGATCTCCCTCCTAGCCTCCAGCTCCTGGAAGTCTAGTGACAACAGAGGTGTGCTAAGACCCCTAGTCTCCCTCCGCCTGCTCCAATATAGTGTTAGTGCGTGTTGATGAGGTATATTCCGTTGCTGTGGTGAGCGGGCAGTGCGGGCATCGTCTGGCCTATGCCAGCTGATGCCACCACACTACCCCACTTGCACCCACAGCCCTCAGTGTTTAAGTGCAGTTTAAAATTGTGTTACATCCCCGGCTCTCTAGAAGAGATGAGGAGGGGAGTAATAAAAGTGGTGTGTGGATTAAATAATAATAAAGTGCAGTGTCGCTTAAAACCAAGACTTTTATTACAAAAATGGGATATTTACAAGGAACTAAAAAGCAATACAAAACAAACGCAGATATTCAAGAGGAGAAACGAAAAGTGCCAACCCAGAAGGGGATGGGGATAAACAACCGATAATATTAATATTAATATCTAAATACAAAAGGGGAGATCCTAAATCGAGGTCAAATAGCTGGTCCAAAGTCAACGTACCAAATCGTCTTAATCTTAAATCCAAATTCCAAAACGAGTTATCAACTAGCGAGCAAACCGAATTTTATCAAAGGAAGCGAACGAGGAGAAGAGAGCAGAATAAACTGTTGCCAGTCTACTCTACCCTTGGACCTTCTCAAAGAACTGATGGCTGAGGGGCAGCTTTTAACAGCTGTCCAGTAATTATCACTGATTTTGAGCAGCTGGGCACCGGCAGACAGGCGAGACAAAGGCCACTGAGGCCATCTTGTGGCCAAAAAGGGGCACGGCACGTAACAATTGGAAGTGGGCACCGGCACTCGGGATGAGGCTGAAAAATCCCCCTGCCAAATGCCTTTGAATGTGCTAACTCCCAAGGTCCTAAGTGTGTGTTTGCGTGGAATGT